CCACATTATTTATCATACATATGTTCTCCATCTTTGGAAGTTGTGTTGACACTCTTCATCTTCTATTGTCTTTTCTTACATTCACTTGTGGGTTTCTACCTTTTAATTCTTGTAATTGTCATTTTACTGTGATTTTGGAGGGAACAGAGATAAACATGTGTACTCCCATGAAGATTTTTTGGGGTGATGAGGGAATAAGAAAAAGAATTTCTGTTGTGTACCTTTATGTACTCCCATAGTGTGTAGTATTACAGTTAATTCAGTGCTGTTGCATGCTGTAAATTTTTAATTAATGCTTATTGAATGTTTTACTTTGTCAGCTGTTATATTCTTATCCCATGCCTCACTCTACCCCCAGTATGCTTATGGGATCCTGAAATGTGATTTCCTAAAACCTATCTTTCTCTGAGCTGCTGATATATACCGTAAGATTATTTATACAAGAAGATTATTTAGGCCGGGTGCGGTGGCTCACGCCTGTAATCCCAGCACTTTGGGAGGCCGAGGCGGGTGGATCACGAGGTCAAGAGATCGAGACCATCCTGATCAACATGGTGAAACCCCGTCTCTACTAAAAATACAAAAAATTAGCTGGGCATAGTGGCGCGTGCCTGTAATCCCAGCTACTCAGGAGGCTGAGGCAGGAGAATTGCCTGAACCCAGGAGGCGGAGGTTGCTGCGAGCCGAGATCGCGCCATTGCACTCCATCCTGGGTAACAAGAGCGAAACTCCGTCTCAAAAAAAGAAAAAGAAGATTATTTATTTGGAAGAAAATGGGAAGTGATAAGAATAATTTTGGACCCTTTGCATTTTGGTGATTTATTGAGAGTTTACTAAAGGTTTTGAAACTAGGAGCTGGTTTCCAGAGTCTGAAGTTTTAAAAATTTAGGGGTGTGTGTGTGTGTGTGTGTGTGTGTGTGTATGCATATGCATGCACTTGAAAAAAGATAGGAGGGTCTTGCTCTGTCACCTAGGCTGAAGTGCAGTGGCATGATCATGGCTTGCAATAGCTTTGAACTCCTGGGCTCAAGTGATCCTTCCACATCAGCCTCCTGAGTAGCTTCCTGAGTAGCTGGGACCACAGGCATGCACAACTATGCCTAAGTTAAAAAATTTTTTTTTGTAGAGACAAAGTCTGACTGTGTTGCCTGTAGATTAGATGTGTAAGTTCTCTATGGAAAATAATTCGTAACTGAAGAATATAACAAGAGGACTTAAAGGTTTATTGTATGCACAGTTGGGAAGTGTCATACTGCAAAGGTATCAGTTCTCTTCAGATTAATCTATAAAATCATGATTCCCACAATAATTTCAGTATGTACTATGGAACATATTAAGCTAATTCCAGCATTGATCTAGAAGACTAATGGCAATTAAAAAATATGCTCTACTGGTATGGAGCTCATTATTTTTATAATTAGGACGGTGTGATATTAGTGCAGGTAGAGGCATATTGATAGGGTGGCCATTCATCTTGGTTTGTGTGGAAGAGTTCCATTTTATGCCTGTTGTCCTGGTAATTAATAGGCACTCTTTCACTCTAAAGATTATCAACTGAAAAAAAAATAGAGTAATACAGTAGTATTTTTGCTCTTCTTGAGAGTCCTGAAACAAATCCACTAAATTTATATCCTATGTGGTATTACATATCAGTGATGAAAGGATATCATTCAGTAAATGGTGCTAGGTTAGAAAGAAATATAACTGCCCTTTGTCTCACATTACACAAAAAAATTAATCCCAGGTAGATTTAAAAACTTGAAAAGTAAAACTTTAAAACTTACACAAGAGAAAATATGACACTGTCCTTAGGATGTCTGGGAAGACAAAAACCACAGTATAAATTACAAGACTACATTAGTATTTACTACTTTTTTTTTTTTTTTTAAACAAATAAGAAAGCATTAAAAACAATGGAAAAACAAGCCCACATGCAGGGAGAAGAGATTTGTAACACATATAAGGAACTAAGTTTGAGTAAATAGAATCCCTGAAGATTAAACAAACAAACACTGTAATCCTAGCACTTTGGGAGGCCGAGGCGGGTGGATCTTGAGGTCAAGAGATCGAGACCATCCTGATCAACATGGTGAAACCCCGTCTCTACTAAAAATACAAAAATTAGCTGGGCACGGTGGCACATGCCTGTAATCCCAGCTACTCAGGAGGCTGAGGCAGGAGAATTGCCTGAACCCAGGAGGCAGAGGTTGCGGTGAGCGGAGATCGTGCCATTGCACTCCAGCCTGGGTAACATGAGCGAAACTCCGTCTCAAAAAAAAACAAACAAAAAAATAAACAGTGCATACACAGTTTTTAAAACAGCAAGGGATATTAATAGGCATTTTATAGAAGAAGAATCTAAGATGACCAATGATACCCATGATGTTATGAAAATGAGTCTAAACTATACTAGTAATCATGCTAGCAAAGTTGAAGATGTTCATATCTTTCATCTCAGAAATTTTACTTCTATATCTATAGTCTGTAGAAGCATTCACATGAGTACTAGAAAACGTTTATTAAAATATTTATCTCAACATTCTGTGTTTTAACAAAATAAAAATGGGAAACTATCTAAATTCTATAATCAGGAGAATTGTTAAATTCTGATATGTATGTGAAACTATTCTATATAATTAAAATTATTTAAAATTAATGAATTAAAACAGAACCAAAATAGATACATTTTAGAAACATACATAACTTTTTTTTCTTTTGGAGACAGTTTCTCATTCTGTCACCCAGTCTGGAGTATAGTGACACAATCACAGCTCACTGCAGCCTTTACCTCCCGCACTCAAGTGATCTTCCCATCTCAGCCTCCCAAGCAGCTGGGACCACAAGCGTGTGCCATCATGCCTGGCTAATTTTTTATTTTTAATTTTTGTAGAAAAGGGGTCTTACTGTGTTGCACAGGCTGCTCTTAAACTCCTGGGCTCAAGTGATCCTCCCTCCTTGGTCTTCCAAAGTGCTGGAACTATAGGCATGAGTTACCATGCCAGGCTCACGAAGCATAATATTTGAATAAAACCAAGTTGCAAAAAGCAATACACAGTTTTATATCAGTTACTAAGTTTAAAGACATTAAAATTAAAGCACGTAGTTTTGTGATGTTACATATATGCACAATAATATAAAATATGCATGGCTATAGTAAATACCAAATGTAGGATAGTGGCTGTGTCTGGGTAGTGAAGGGAGAGGATGAGATCAGGAGTATTAATAGAATACTTATGTTTTTCAATGCTATCTGTAATGTCAATACTATCTGTAATACCAATATTATCTGTAATGTCTTGTATCCTTGTAGCTTTCAGTATTTTCTATTAATTTACATTGTATTGTGAATAAAATATATTCACATTGATATGCTTTATGTATATATTCTATACTTACTGTCTATAAAATAAAGATATTGTCAATGCATATAAATCCTGTCTTTGCAGTTTCTTTACTTTCCTTTACCATCTAAGAAATGCTACACTAGTAGCAGTAATTTGTACTGACTCTAGAGCTTGATTTTTAAGGTAAAGAATAAAATATTTTTTCTTCATCTAAAAGTAGTCTTGGTAACTGCTAAGCTTCCTTCCAGAACTAAACTGTATTTCTTTGATGTTTACTCTATAGCAGAAGATCTTTTCTGACAGGTTAGGATACAGTCACATGTTGAGGATTAGAAAGCGAATTCCTTATACAGATTGTTGTTTTCAGTCTGCCTGTCTCTATTTAGCAACCATCTATCATCTACAATAGGAGTTTGAAAACTTTTTCTATAAACAGCCAGATAGTAAATATAGTAGGCTTTGTAGGCCATATGGCTTGTGTCACAACTACTCACTTTGCCGTTGTAGTGTGAAAGCAGACATAGGCAATACCTAAATGAATGGGCATGGCTGTGTTCCAATAAAACTATTTACAAAATCAGGCAGCAAACTAGATTTGGCCGTGGGCCATAATTTGCTAACTTGTAATATGCAACACACTCAGAGAAATTGCTTCAGTAACCAAAGTAATACTATTAACCTATATTATGGGTGGTAAAACTGAAGCATAGAAATCTTAAATGGCATTATTCAGCTTAAAGTAACCCTACCATGTTCCTGTTAATTACAAGGCAATATAATTTTTTTAACATATATAGATTCACCAGAGATTGTTTTTTTTCCTTTAAAAGTAGAGTAAGTTGGGTGGGTATAATCTCTTAGTTATTTATGATTGCAACCTCTAATATGATTAGAAACTTAATATTGTTAAGTCCCTGAGAATCTTCTTTACAGAACCATTTTACATATGATGATTTTTCCAAGGTTTGCATTCACATGCAAAAACAAATACAAGAACTGGTATATGATATAGTTTAGATTTGGATATCTTACACACCATTGACTTAACATCCAAAGATAGTGAAAGCTTTAGATAATATAGACAATATATTGGGCAGTTGTTGCAGTTCTTCTGTAAGACAGAAGAACTAAAATCAACTTTATGAAGCAATTTCTTTGTGTTGTCATGACCTGCCTGCAGTAATTGAGAATTTATCTATCTGCAGTTATCTTAGGGTTGAGAAAGTATATTTTTCCTATCTAATTTCGTGGGCTAGAGAATAGTATTTTTTTTGTGGTTATCAGGTAATGATGACTCCTCTCTGTGTGCAGAAAGTAGTCTGCCATAGTCACATCGGAACCTGTGTAAATCTAAAGGAAAGACAGTAAAATTAATTTAACCAGCATGAAAATTACCATACTACTTTTTAACTCTAGAAGAATACTGAAATTACATGTGTTTGAGAAAGTTTTAACATGAATCAGAGCCAGGATTTGAATTATTACTAAAAGTAATAGTCTTAAGAACATCTATTTAATAAAGTAATTAAATAGTAATTAAATGTTCTTAGACTATTTTAAAAGAAGTTGAGATTTTTTTCTGACCAAAAAAAAAATCTTACCAAGCAACAAATTGTTTACTTTTCCACTAAAAATTGAATGTATTTATTTTTTCAGAGACATTAAACCTGACAATATATTGATGGATATGAATGGACACATTCGGTTAGCAGATTTTGGTTCTTGTCTGAAGCTGATGGAAGATGGAACGGTAAATAACGATAAATCCTAAATTATTTTATTCACAGACATTTCCCTTGCTATTTATTTTTTATATCTGTTTTAGAAACCATCTATTTATACTATCTACCCGTCCATCCATCCATTTGTCTGTCTATGTGCCACCTCTTTCCGCAAATGCATTTGGGCATGCTTATAATGGGGCTTGTCTAAAAAGTCACTAGCCATTTCAGCTTGTTATATCAAAGATCTTCAGATTGATAATAGTATAACCTTTATGAGACCCTTGTTTGCTCCTTCTTTAGTTGGTGACTTCTGTTATACTTTAGATATTTCAAAGTTTACCAGGGGGGTAAAGGAACTGAGTCTCACATAGAGAAAGAAAATGCCAACTTTGTCCTCACTTTTACTTTTTTGTCTTTCTTTCCTAATTGCTTAGTTATTCTGAGGGACAGTTGTCAACAAATGAATTTTTTTTTCAGAAAGTTCACAGGTTAATTTAGTTTCATGTTCCCATTTGCTTAACTTTTGTTAACCCTGAAGCCCTCAGTTGGTTTTTTTGTTGTTGTTGTTTACTTAATAGCTGGGCATGGTGCCTGTCTCTGTTCAGCAGCCATTTATCATCTACAATAGGGGTTTGAAAACTTTTTCTATAAATAGCCAGATAGCAAATATATTAGGCTTTGTAGGCCATATGGTTTGTGTCACAACTACTCACTTTGCCTCCCACCTCAGACCCAACTACTTAGGAGTCTGAGGTGGGAGGATCTCCTGAGCACAGGAGGCAAAGGTAGCAGTGAGCCAAGATTGCACCACTACACTCCAGCCTGGGCAACAGTCAAATCCTGTCTCCAGACAGCCCCCAACATCTCCCCTCCACCCCCACCAAAAGAAAAACAAAAAAAGGCTGGGCATGGTGGCTCATACTTGTAATCCCAGCACTCTGGGAGGCTGAGGCAGGAGGATTACTTGAGCCCAGGAGTTTGAGACCACCCTGAGCAACATAGTGAGACTGTCTCTATTTTAAAGAAAAAAAAAAAAAAAAAAAAGTTTATATGACCCAGTTTTATTCTTTTTTTTAAGCTTCATTTTTCTAGCTGTATAGCAGAAGTCCAAAAATACATCAGTTTAATTGGCAGAAAGTTTTTGGAGATCAGTTTAATTGGCAGAAAGTTTTTGGAGAACAGTTTAGTATAATACATTCCAAAAGTGTCACATTACTCTAGACTGGCAATTTTGACTTCAGAATTCATTCTCTCTCTCTCTCGCCTCTCTCTCTTTCTCTCTCTCTCTTTCTCTCTCTCCTCACCCTGTTGCTCAGGCTGGAGTGCAGTGGCATGATCTCAGCTTCTGAGTTCAAGTGATTCTCCTGCCTCAGCCTCCCAAGTACCTGGGATTACAGGCAAGCACCACCACACTCAAGTAATTTTTGTATTTTTTGTAGAAATGGGGTTTCACCATGTTGGCCAAGCTGGTTTCAAACTCCTGACCTCAGGTGATCTGCCCAGCTCAGCCTCCCAAAGCGCTGGGATTACAGGCGTGAGCCACCACTCCCGGCCAACTTCAGAAAATTTATCCTATAGTGATAACTTTGTTAAAAAGGATTATGTGACCTCTGCCTCTGGCCACAATAGAAGGATTAAATTGGTACCAAATTAGCACTCCCACAATAAAGAACTATAAAACTGGATACAATATTTGAAACAACTGTTTTCCAGCAGTGGACAATAGGCAGCATAATATTATTATCCCTGACACAAATGACCTCATGAGGTATTCCTCACAATTGCCCAAAGACTGGGACAGTTCCTGACTCTGATACAGAAAGCTAGAGTGAGAGCAGAGCTGGACTAGCTGCAACAGCTGGAATCTGCAGGCCTTTGCTTTGGAGAGGAGGGAACTGTGCAGAGAGAGGGCATAAAGTACCTCATGAAGGTTGGGCGATACATTGTACTACAAGGTCATATGAGGCTTGCCAATAGTAGATGATATTATTTGAAAACAGACGAGAATACTAATGATCAAGCAGATCCCCTAGGTGAGAAACATTGCTAGGGGAAATTGAATTTTCAGCCCTAGGGAGCCAGCTAACACCTTTGTATCACCTAAGACCTACTCTAAACCTGTCAGTGACCTAAATCCAAGCCCTTATAAGATCCACAGAGTTTGGAAGTGTTCCTTCCAAGTAGAGGGGCTTATGGCAAATCTTAGATTTTTGTATGAACCTACAGTCACAGAGTATGTTCGTAAGCCAACTTATGGTCAAGGAGATCAGTCAGTAATTTTTTTATGTGCTTACATAGGAATTATTTCTTCTTCATAGGAAGATAGCAGAATCAGTATTCTCTTTAACATCTTATTCATAATTGCCAAAATTCAGTAAAAAAATAAATAAATAACTGAACCAAACAAAAATGGGGATGTGGATAGAGATACGGAGTCAAATAAAAGCAGTCAGTAGAGGCCTCGCTGGCACACATATTGGACTTAGCAGACAAAGACTTAAAGAAGTGATCATTGGCAATTCCTCAAGGACCTAGATATAGAAATACCATTTGACCCAGCAATCCCATTACTCGGTATATACCCAAAGAATTATAAATTGCTCTATTATAAAGACATATGCACACATATGTTCATTGTGGCACTGTTTTCAATAGCAAAGACCTGGAACCAACCCAAATGTCCATCAGCAATAGACTGGATAAAGAAAATGTGGCATATATACACCATGGGATACTATGCAGCTATAAAAAACGATGAGTTCGTGTCCTTCATAGGGACATGTATGAATCTGGAAACCATCATTGTCAGCAAACTGACACAAGAACAGAAAATCAAACACTGCATGGTATCACTCATAGGCGAGTGTTGAACAGTTAGAACATATGAACGCAGGGAGGGGAGCATTACACACTGCAGTCAGTTGAGGGGGACTAGGGGAGTGACAGTGGAGGGTGGGGATGGTGGGGAGGGATAATGTGGGGAGAAATACCAGATATAAGTGATTGGGGGAGGAAGGCAGCAAATCACCTTGCCACGTATATACCTATGCAACAATCCTGCATGATCTGTACATGTACCCCAGAACCTAAAGTACAATTAAAAAAAAAAAAAAAAAAAAAAAAAGAAATGATCCTTATGGAATCAAGAGACAGCTCGCACAGCCAAGACAATCCTAAGCAAAAAGAAAACAAAAAACAAAGCTGGAGGCATCATGCTACCTTACTTCAAACTATACTACAAAGCTACAGTGATCAAAACAGCATGGTACCAGTACCAAAACAGAGATATCGACCAGTGGAACAGAACAGAGGCCTCATAAGTAACACCACACATCTACAACCATCTGATCTTTGACAAACCTGGCAAAAATAAGCAATGGGGAAAGGATTTCCTGTTTAATACATGGTGTTGGGAAAACTGGCTAGCCCTATGCAGAAAGCTGAGACTGGATCCCTTCCTTAAACCTTGAATGAAAATTAACTCCAGATGGATTAAAGATTTAAACATAAGACCTAACATGATAAAAACCCTTAAAGAAACCCTAGGCAGGACATAGGCATAGGCAAGGACTTCATGGACCTAGTCATAGGCAAGGACTTTATGACTAAAACACCAAAAACAATGGCAACAAAAGCCAAAATAGACAAATGGGATTTAATTAAACTTAAGAGCTTCTGCACAGCAAAAGAAACTGTCATTAGAGGGAACCAGCAGCCAACAGAATGGGAAAATATTTTTGCAATCTACTCATCTGACAAAGGGCTAATAACTAGAATTTACAAAGAACTTAAATTTTTTTTAAAAAAAGGACTTAAACAAATTTACAAGAAAACAACAGACAGCCCCATCAAAATTGGGTGAAGGATATGAACAGACACTTTTCAAAAGAAGACATTTATGCAGCCAACAAACATGAGAAAAAGCTCATCATCACTGGTCATTAGAGAAATGCAAATCAAAACCACATTGAGATACCATCTCACACCAGTTAGAATGGCGATCATTAAGAATGTGGAGACAACAGATGCTGGAGAGGATGTGGAGAAATAAGAACACTTTTACACTGTTGGTGGGAGTGTAAATTAGTTCAACCATTGTGGAAGACAGTGTGGTGGTTCCTCAGGGATCTAGAACTAGAAATACCATTTGACCCAGCAATCTCATTACTGGGTATATACCCAAAGGATTATAAAACATTCAGTTATAAAAACACATGTACATGTATATTTATTGTGGCACTGTTTATAATAGCAAAGACATGGAATATTCCAAATGCCCATAAATGATAGACTGGATAAAGAAAATGTGGCACGTATACACCATGGAATATTATGCAGCCATGAAAAGGATGAGTCCATGTCCTTTGCAGGGACATGGATGAATCTGGAAACCATCATTCTCAGCAAATTGACACAAGAACAGAAAACCAAACACCGTATGTTCTCACTCATAAGTGGGAGTTGAACGATGAGAACCCATGGACACAGAGAGGGGAACATCACACACTGGGGCCTGTCAGAAGGTGGGGACTAGGGGAGGGATAGCAGGGGATGGGGAGACTGGGGAGGGATAACATTTTGAGAAATACCTATTGTAGATGATGGGGTGATGGATGCAGCAAACCACCATGGCACATGTATACCTACGTTACAAACCTGTACAATCTGCACAGGTACCCTAGAACTTAAAGTATTTAAAAAAAAAAAAAAAGTGATCATAGGCCGGGCTCAGGCCCGTAATCCTAGCACTTTGGGAGGCCAGTGCCAGCAGATCATCCAAGGTCAGGAGTTTGAGACCAGCCTGGCCAACACAGCGAAAGCCCATTTCTACTTAAAATACAAAATTAGCCAGGCGTGGTGGCACATGTCTGTAATACCAGCTACTCAACTCAGGAGGCTGAGGAGGAGAAACACTTGAACTCAGGAGGTGGAGGCGGAGGTTGCAGTGAGCCAAGATTGCACCATTGCACTCCAGCCTGAGCAACAGAATGGAACTCTGTTTCAAAAAAAAAAAAAAAAAAAGATT